AATTTGGGCCCCCTTTTCACAGCCAATAAATCCTGATACTGTAATATGGAAGTTCTTCAGTGTCCATGCCTGAGGTTAGAGTAAGGGTCCTAAAAACGAGGGAAAAGAAAAGAATTACAAACTCTTGGCTTTTGTATCGAAGTAATACTAATTACATTCATTTACATGATTTGCTTATGCCTGGTTACCAGGTGGCAAGATAACTGTTTGTACTGGAAAATTTGAGTCAGATTAATTTTATAGTGCATTCTGATTACTAAATTCTTTCCTTGAATGCTCTATTTTCAGAGCTTATTACTGGTAACATGGTCATGACTTCCCATAGCTGGAAAAAATTAAAGGGAATAACTGTGAAATGTTTCTGAGTAAACCTTATAATTATTTTTTTTCCCCAACAATATTTTAGGGCAAAAATCTCAATATGGCCACATTTATACATGCTCTTTGTCCTACTGCAGGCCTAGAATCAAAAATAGACTCCAGTTTACAAATTCTATGGTACCTATCTATGCTGTAGGATGGAATGAAGGCATATCTTATTTAGAAAATGCACTCCTGAGAACAGAATCTTTATGTGAAATCAGTGATAGTAGGTCTTCCTGGAGTACCTACAGTGAGGATGTGTTCTCAGTGGTGTACATAGGCTATTGTTTATTTTCTTCAATTCTTTTTGCAACTTTTGACCAATCCTCCGTAAGCACAGTGGTGTTTTAATGCTCTTTTTACATCAGAGAATTTCAACCAATCCCTTATTTCCTGTTGGTTTGTACCACTGATTTCCTAACCACTTTCATGAAGGAGCCTTGAGCTACCATGATTCTTGCCTTTTAATGGCCAATGGGATTATCTCTTAATTTACTTTCAGCAGATGGAGCATGGTCACTTGTATACCCTTCTTTTCACTCATTATTAGTCAAAATTACCTACAGAAAAGAAAATACTGACAGGATAAGAGACCTCAGCTGAAAGAATAAAATGGACAGTGCCCCCTCAGATTGAGAAAAGTAGACTATCTTATGTTAGAACCACTGGCTAAGCATTGCAAACTATGAAGTGTCTAAAATGTTACTCTCCTTACAAGGTAATGAGTTAGGCTGCCAGTTTCATGGATGCTGGTGGAAGATACAAGACTCCTGGGTTAGACACAAAGAATAGCTTATTACTCACAGCAATAGCAACAGCTAAAGTACCAGCGATAATGAGCATGTTCCCTGAGCCTACTTCCCATAGTATGAAACCACAAGGACCAGGTAGCACCTACACAGAGACTGAACTGCATTATAGAGAAGAATCCTGTGGTTAAGGAACGCAGATATTTTACAGTGGCCAGTAAGCAAGCCTGCCCTTTGCTCTGGAAGGGGAAACTAGTTCTATAATTGAAGTCTTTTTATTATATAAACATTCTTGGAAAGTCATGTTTATTATAAAAACATGACTATGGAGGCTGAAAGGTGAAACTGTGATGTGAATAGGGCATGTGGTCAGTCAGTGGGTGTTAATTCCTGACTCTATCACTTAGACCTTGAGTGATTTATTTGATCTTTTCAGTCTCAAGAGTTTTCATCCCCACCTCATGCCATACCCGCCTCATGCCATAGGTGCTTCATTGTGTCTCCCTGAAGATTAATGGAAGAAGTAGCACCATGTCTGGCACATAGTAAACACTCAACAAACATGAACTGTTACTGTTATTTTTTCTCCCAAAATACTATCATAACTTACATACTATTTGTCACCTGGTTTTTAAATTTAGAAGTATATCATGAATGTTGCTTCTGATCCTGGAGTTCTTTCTTCAGATGAATGGAGTCTTGCTCAGTAGTGGATGTAAATCAGGTTGACTACCCCAGGAAACAACTACCTGGTCTCTGAAGAAGTGCCCAGGTAATTCTGGGGCGTACTGTTCTTTGGACTGATTCGGGCAGTGGCCAGTAAGGAGAGGGCACAAGTTCCCAGGAGAAATAGACAGAAGTGTGATACTTTTGAGGCCTGTGGTTAGAACTCTTCAAATCCCGCCTGGGCAGGTGACTCCTGCTCTTCCATCTCATTTGCACAGATGAAGGAAAACTTTGGTTTGGGGAGATGAAAGAGAGTTGTTTCATTCAGGTCCTGAAGGAGAGCAACACAGTGTATTTACAGGTAACCTGGTGTCGGACACTTTTACGTCAGAGATGACACACTTTTCTTGCTCCAGCCCCCAGTTAGAACCTGGGGAATTCTCTCCATTGAGCAGTGCTCTGGGCCTCTCGCTACCTGTGTACAGGGCTCAGAAGGCAGCTTTGTTACAAGAAAGGAAAACCAACAGTCATATTCTGCAGTAGGCTAGTGGTCGCCTGAACCCCACAACACTTCACAGCTTTATAATACTCCTAAAAATACCCCATAAGCATGCTCCTACAGTATTCCCTGGACCTCTCATGTTCAAATCCCAGCTCTGCCATTTTCTAGCTCTGTGATCTGGAATACGTAAGTTAACTTCTCTGTGCCTTACTTTCCACATCTGTAAAATACAGATGATAATAAAACTTACCTCATGGGTTGTCACAAATATTAAATCCATATGTCAAGCAATTAGATTAGTGCCTGGCATATGGCAAAAAAATGATGATTATTGTTTTTAATCACTATCGACATTACACATGAGCCCCAGTGTTCTCGGCTTGATCAGGGCAGTTACTACTGATTTTCTACCAAATTCTCTAGCTCTAATACAGACTAGGTTAGGGTTCTTCACGACCTTAGTACCTTTGAGGGTGACTTTATTTCTTTGTGGAGAGGTAACGCTCCCCTCTGCTTGGGGGCTCACTTCCCCCTTTTGGTTGGGGGAGAAGCAGCGGGGTTCGTTCTGTTTTCTAAACAACTCAATTCTCACCCCAGCCCAGTCCCATCTTTTTTTTTTTCTTTTATAAATAGTTTATTGTCAGGTTGGTTTCCATATAAAACCCAGTGCTCATCCGCACAAGTGCCCTCCTCCATGCCCATCTCCCCCCCCCCCCCCCCATCAGTCCTCAGTTTGTTCTCAGCATTCAAGAGTCTCTCATGGTTTGCCTCTCTCCCTTTTCCCCACCATTTCCCCCCTTCTTCTCCCCCATGGTCCTCCGTTAAGTTCCTCCTAATCCTCCTATACGTGCAAACATATGATATTTGTCCTTCTCTGCCTAACTTATTTTGCTCAGCATAACACCCTCAAGGTCCATCCATGTTGCTAAACATGGCCAGATTTCACTGTTTCTCATTGCCATGTAGTATTCCATGGTATAGATAAACCACATCTTCTTGATCCACTCGTCCGTGGATGGACAATTAGGCTCTTTCCATGTTTTGCTATTGTTGAGAGTGCTGCTATGAACATTGGGGTACATGTGCCCCTATGAATCAGCACTCCTGTATCCCTTGGGTAAAATCCTAGCAGTGCTATTGCTGGGTCCTAGGGGAGTTCTATTGTTATTTTCCTGAGGAAACTCCACACTGTTTTCCAGAGGGGCTGCACCAGTTTGCATTCCCACCAACAGTGTAGGAGGGTGTCCGTTTCTCCACATCCTCGCCAGCATCTAGAGTTCTCTGATGTGCTCATTTTAGCCACTCTGACTGGCATGAGGTGGTATCTCAGTGTGGTTTTGATTTGTATTTCCCTGATGAGGAGGGATACTGAGAATCGTTTCATGTGTCTGTTAGCCATCAGCCCAGTCCCATCCTGATGATGGTTGGATGAAGTGGCCCCTCTTTGAGACCATTCCACTGTCTGGGAACCTCAGTTATACTCGCAGTCAGTACAGGCTGGTAAAGGAGTAGGAATTCTCTCTGAAAGCTTTTCTATGCCCTGTAGGCCTGCATGTGGCTCTCCAGTGTGAGGTGAGAGCTCCCAGAACTTGCTACCACCAGGAGAGCTCTGTGGGCATAAAGGCAGCACATACTCTCAGGTAGACACCCCCATGAATGGATTTTAAACAAGTTTCTTCTGGAATACATCTACACTAATAATGCCTTTCGTTTATGCAGTGATAATAACCTGAGTGTGCAGCTCCGTGACAGGGCTGGGCCTGACAAGGCTTCCTCCCTGCCACCGATGTGTGTAGGTAGATAATGTGTTCTCAGCCTTTCTTTGGAGCAGGAAGCAAACACCAACAATTGAGGGATAGGCTGGGGTGGGTGTGGAAAGCTGCTTCCTAAAATAGCACCATGCTGTGGCATTTATTCTTAAAGGAAAACTATTATGGCAGGATTGAAAGTGCAGTGCTGCACTGTGAAGCTCTCAGGGTTTGGTTCATCACCGTGCAAAACAATGGCAGCCTCCAGCAGCTCTGGGGCTGCTAGCTGAGCACAGCCCAGGGCTCAAGACTAGTGTCCTGTACTGCTTGGTACACACACAAAAAAACCAAGAAGACAGAAATGGCTAAACGTCCAGGGCACTTAGTTAGTGGCTCTAATCTGGCCCTCACCTAGCCTGTCCATGGGTAACAGCCGGAGCTCCTAACTACCACCCAGTTCTGTCCTCTCTTGGGATTACATGTCTGTTTTCGTTTCTCAGCTCCACCTCCTATGTGACTCTGGGTAAGGTGCCTGCCCTATCTCAGCCAGTCTGATCCTCTGTAAATGGAGATGATAGTACCATGCTCCTGGTCATAAGGGTGAAATAAGACATTATGTATAGAGGCTAAGCAAAGGCCTGGCCCATGATCACTGCTCAATGAATGCCAGCAAAGGTATCATCATTATTATTCTTTCAGGGGAGTGAGCCTTTGCTTGTCTTGCCTCCCAGGCTACCGGCTTCTTTTTTTTAAGCTGGCATTTTCTCACTTCTGAGATCTGTAGAAATGACATGTTTGCACATAAATTTCAGGTGTAACTCAGCTTCACTCACATGTCATAGACTGCTTTACAGGAATGTTTTTCTAGGGAAATGCCACAATTTCATTATTCAGTGCCTCATGTTGTGCTTTGACTCATGCCGTTTCCTCTGAGTTCATCCATCAAGGGTGGTGGTTTGCTGGGGAACTGCACAAAATACAGAGCGCTTTGTGAATGTGTGTGTCATCCTTACACAGGGGCCATGCTCATCTTCTCTGTTTCGTTCCAATTTTAATATAGGTGCTGCTGAAGCAAGCACTAGGCTACTGGCCATCTCCTCTCTGGGAGGCAGTGCAAAGAAGAAGGGAGCAAACAGAGCCTGGAATCGCTCTGCCGGGGTCAATCCATGCCTCTGCCACCTTTTTGCTGTTTAAATTTGGGCACATTCCATTATCTCCCTGTGTTCATAATCCATCTCTGCAAGTGGAGAGACAAGAGAATCTGTCTCCTAGGGGTGCTTTGAGGATTAATGCATTCATCCACAAGAAGCTCTTTACTTGGTGCTGGGTGAGTGCCTACGTCTCACGTCCAGGCAGGACATGACACAGTGCCTGTCATTGGCTTGGCACTCAGCAAATCACTCTTTGCTGGTTTGAATCTAATGTAATAGACCAGTTACCTTTGGTTCCTCCCTGTTTCCCCTTCTCCCAGGTTCCATTGAAAGTCTTTCAACACATGCCCTGTGCAAAACAACAGAGTGGGTGAATGCTTGTTTTCTAGGATCTGAGCAATTTCTCGGGATGCAGGATTTTCAGTCCTAAACCAGGATGGGCCTATGCAAACCAGAATGGTTTGTCACCTGACTACTACTCGCATCTCCCATGTGTGGGGCCAAGGCTGAGGTGTTTGCTCCTAGAGGCTACTGGCATGGAAAGGTGGCAATTTCAGTGATACTGCCCACCCCCAATTGTTAATGCCTCCTCTCTCCCAAGTGCTACTGAAATCTGCAGTCTGCGACCCTACACTGTACCTCCCGTCACAAACGCTGGGGGATGCTCTCCAGGAGGGGAACACGTTGTCCGCGGGAGGGGGTGGAAAGACGAACCTTGAGCAGAGTGACATTCACTTAGTCCCACTTCCAGGTAATCACAGTGATTTCTTGAGAGTTCGGTGCTGATGGAAACTTAGGGTCCTATTTCACATGAGACTGGGAGTTGGTACACCTGGTTCTAATCTCTGCTTTCCTCTTTGAGCTGTGTAACCTTGGATAAGAAGCCTAACTTCTGCGGGAATCCAATGTTCTCATCTGTAAAACAGGAAGAAGATGAGATAATACGTCTAGATCATTGTGCCCCATGGGGCAGGGGCAGTGGCCATCAGGCCGGGGCCTGTATGGTGGGCAGCTGATGCTGGCTGAGGGGATTAGGAGAGCAGGTTGCTGTCTGGCTTCCGTGCTTGTGCTGACACTGCTCTGCTCCTCCCTGGTGAACACTGGGTCATTTCCACTTTGATGGAAGGTCTGGCAACTTTATCTGCTATTACGTGAGGCCTTGCCCTAAAAATGTCTCACCTTGGCCATGTTTCTTGAGCTCTCTTAGCCTCAGTTTCCTCATCTATTAAATAAGGATAATTGGGGCGCCTGGGTGGCTCAGTCAGATAAGCATCCGACTTCGGCTCCAGTCATGATCTCACGGTTCGTGGGTTTGAGCCCCGCATCGGGCTCTGTGCTGACAGCTAGCTCAGAGCCTGGAGCCTGTTTCAGATTCTGTGTCTCCCTCTCTTTCTGACCCTCCCCTGTTCACGCTGTCTCTGTCTCAGAAATAAATAAAAAAACATTAAAAAAAATAAGGATACTTATAATACTCTCTTGTTGAGTTGTTGTGAGAATGGTTCATTAAGGGCCAAGTATCTGGATTCAGGAGATGGATTTGTATTCAAGCATGTAGAATCAATCTTATTATTATTTTTCCTTTCATAGCTTAAGTCTTATTATTTTATACCCATACCTCATTCTCTAGTTCAATCATCAAACTCCCATTTATTGAACACTTACTTGTGCTAGGTACTGAGTTAGGCCCTGGGGACACAGTGATAAATGGGGCACAGTTCCTGGCCTCAAGGAACTCAAAGGAGGCCAAAGGGGTAAGTTAGCAGGTTATTTATTCTGCTTTTCCTTTTGTCATTATAAAACAATTTATTAAGAGCTCACTGTGGCAAAGATTGCTAGATCTCTAAGTAGTATAATCCCCCCCCCCCCCGTTTTTTTCCTAACAAAATTCCTATATTGCTGAGTGAGGCAAGGTGCCTACTAAAACATCCAGCCTTCTTTTTAGAGATACGTATGGGATAGAGGGTTGGCAGTGAAATATAACTGGAAGTCAATGAGTGGAGCTTACAGGGAAAGCTTTATAAGTGGGGATGACTCAGCCAGAAGGCCTCATTTGTCTTTTCCCTGCATCTTCCTTCTCTTTCCCTGGAGCAGCGAAGTGACTGGTGGAGCTCCAGTATTCACCTTAAGAGTATGAGGACAGAGATCATACCCTAGGAGCTGGAAGGAGCCTAGGTCCTTCATGACATTTTGGAGTCACCATATATGCTTCAGACTGTTTAATTCCACACTTAAAATTTTTATTTTAATGTTTATTTATTTTTGAGAGAGAGAGAGAGAGGCAGGGTATGAGAGGGCGAGGGGCAGAGAGATAGGGAGACAGACTCTGAAGCGGGCTCTAGGATTTAAACTATCAGCACAGAGACCGATGTGGGCCTCAAACCCATAAACTGTGAGATCATGACTTAAGCTGAAGTCAGACACTTAACCACCTGAGCCACCCAGGTGCCCCTGAACTCCACAGTTCTTACTGTATAAGGGGGAAAGTATCTCTGCTTGATTTAAAACAATATTTCAAGTCACAGTCACTAGTAGTGGAACACAATTTCTAGTTGATCTATGTAATAGATGTGGAGCAGAGTGCAGAAAATGATCTAATTTTTTCTCCAAAATGTGAAGAAGTGAAGGTCACAGAAATCTAACAAATGAGAATGTAATGTTGAAACCCAAGAGGCCCATTAATCTTTCCCAGTGTAGACCTAGAGAAGCTGACTAACCCCACCTGTTCTTTGTATGGACTCCGTAGGAAAGCTGAGTTTGAAATACCCTTAAATTCCAGTCTCTCTAAGGTCTGACACTGGGGAATTAAATGAACAGAATTAAGTTTTTTTAAATTTCAGCTTTGTTGGTAATAGATGATGAGCCTGAATAATCTTTTTTCTTAGTAGAGGGCTCACAAATGCTCAAAACCTTAATCAGAAACCCAAATTGCTTAGGGTGCCTGGGTGGCTCAGTTGTTTAAGTGTCTGACCCTTGATTTTGGCTCACGTCATGATCTCAGAGTTCATCAGACTGAGCTCTGTATTGGGTTCTGTGCTGACACTGTGGAACCTGCTTGGGATTCTCTCTCCCTCTCTTTCTGCCCCTCCTGTGCATAAGTGCTCACTCTATCTCTCTCACACACAATAAAAAAACTTAAAAAAGAACCCAGATTGTTCTATCCATATGCATGTTCCTGTTATAGTTGTATTTTTTAATAATGTTAAAGGATTTTAGAATTTTTAAATTCACCTAGCACACATTTTCACTCATTCCAAGCAACAAAAAGAAGAGTTTGAGTTTACCGAGCACTTATTCTTTGCCAGTCACTGATAAATACTTAACAAATACAGCCTCACTTAATTACTTCAACATCCCTATTGATATACATGTTATTACTATTGCCATTTGGCAGATGGGGAAACTGAGGCAAAGGTGAGGAGGGAGCATAAGGCAGGCTGAAGCAAAGTACAAGCTAGCACACCTCCCTGCCCTAGGTGTGATATGTGTGATATCCCTTGGACATTCCTAGCTACTCAGAAACAGGAAAGGACAAACAAACAAACAAACAAACAACAACAACCAAGTGGTTAAACTGATAAGAGTCTCCACCAGTTTTACAAGAAAATGCAATCCCATCAATAGCCTAAAGTCCAGGAGGTCCCTACTGTCTTAATGTTAATGCTTTGGTAGAGGGAAAAACAACCTTAGCTTGAGAATAGCTAGGCCTCCAGTAATCTGTGAGTCTTTAGCATATGAAAATCTCTTTGAAAACTTCCCTTTTGACTTCATCTTCCCTGGCCCCATAGTATATAAGGATCCACTCTTCACAACCTCAGTGGAGCTCTTTCTGCCCACAAGTTCTGTCCATAGTTTAATAAAATCACCTTTTTGTACCAGAGAAGTCTTTAAGAATTCTTTCTTGGTCATCAGCTCTGAACCCCCCAATCACCCCAAAAACTCATCAAAGAGAGTTTAAGTAGCCTGTTCTAGGTCACACAACTAAGAAGTGATGATAGGATTTGAAGTCAGGTAGTAACTTATCCTGTCTGGGAATAGGTGAGTGACTTTGAACAAAAAAGTCAAATGTTTCTTTACATATGAAAAAGGAGATATATTTTCTAGAAACTACTTCAACTTGCCCAAGCACATGCTGAATTCACCTAAGATCTTGGGCAGTCTCTAGGGAGCCTCTGGTCTTAGGGGATGGTAAAGAGTGTGCTCCCTTACTTGAAGGTAACCAACATGCATAATATTTGTGTATCTGCATCCTCATTTAGAACATCTGAATTCCATGACCATTCACTTAAGCAGGGAGAAAGGAAGACAGAAGAGACATTCAGTAGTCAATGTCTGGTAAGTAACAGGTGCTTATCAGAATGATAGCTTGCTTGATAACATACCATTGTTGACCTGTCTCCCTTATCAGCACTTCCTGGGATCACCTTCCAAATAAATGACTTGTACTCAAATCCTTATCTTAGGATCTGCTTCCGAGGAACTCAAATTAACACTCGTGTTATCTACAACATCCATCCATCCATCTACCCATCCATTCATCTATCCATCTATCCATGCAGCCACTTAACCTTACCAACCCACAAAATGCCAGGAAACATGGATACTCAGGATAAGATATAAATAAATCACTGCCCTTGAACTGCAGTTGTTCAGTTGAATGTCTTTTTATTTCCTTTATAACCAGGCAGAGATATTTGATACAGTGGTTCCAAAGAAGCATGGAGAAGACTGGAGAATTCCCTGTTCAGACTCTTGAAGAGGGTTTTCCTAGCAGAGCCAGTGCTGCAGGAGCAAACAGAGCCTGGCACACAGGAGGTATTCAAGAAATACTGAACAAGTATACAAATGGACAGAATGGACAGATGGATTAATTAGAAAGTAGCTTATGTTTTCTCTGGGATCCATCTCCCTTGTTTTAATTCATAATTAAA